CATTCAGACACAAGCATCCACTTAGACACACGGTTGCTGACACACACACATGCACCCATTAGCAGAAGCAACACTCAATCCATCAACATTTATTAAGCACCTACTATATGCCTGACACTGTAACGAATATTAGGAGATAAAACAGTCTCTGTCCCTGAGAACTTATATTCTACCAGACAAGACAGCACATGCGCACATACAAACATACAGATTATACACAGTGATTTTGGGGTGGAGGAAGGCACTGGCAGCTTGTGGGGGCGGGGATCAGGAAAGGGCTCATGGAGAAGGTGGTGGCTGAGCTAAGCTTTGAAGGAAGCCACGGATTATAGCCACAAACTAGTATAAAAGGACTCATACCAACTGATTCTTTGTTGTCCTTCATTCTTGAAGAGGACCAAAATGACACCACTATGCTAATGTGCGCGCGCACACACACACACACACACACACACACACAAAGACCCAAACAAAAAGATGCACATTTGTAAGACACACAGATAGACAAACACAAACACATGTGCATCCACACTTCTACAGATTCATGGCCCTTTAACCACCCTGATGCCCCCAACTGCCCAGGGCAGCGGCTCCTCTCTGTCCTCAGTGCCCCACTTCTCCATCCTTACCCCACTGGGTCCTTGGGGAGAGCAGCATGCCAGGCGGATGGAGCTATTGACAGATGCTAGCTGCTCCCGCAGGCTTTCCACTTCTCTCTGGGCCGCCTCAGCTCTCTGCAGGATGGAGGAAGGCAGGAGAATCGAGGGTGGGGTGGGGAAGGGGGATGGGGAGAGAAGATGAGCAGCTGACAGCTATACAAAGTTACAGAGCAGGAGCTTCATCTATCTTCACTCTGATGACTTCAGTTTTGTTAAATGCATTTCCAATTATTATAAAGATGACCCCAGACTCAGTTCCCCTATCTTCACTCTGAACCCGGGTCTTGAACTGGTGGGAACCGTGACAGTATCATGCTGGTTGTTAGGTTCCTCCCTCTTCTTCCTTCATTCCCTAGCTTCCTGGAGTGGATTTCAGAGTGTTCTCTGTTCATTAGATGACTCTGCCCTTTGTCTGCTTGGGAGACTCAGGGAGGAGGCCGCAGTGCTGACGACCTGGTAGCTCTGAGCCCCTACCTCCCCATAACATTCTTCCTCTCCCTCCCTGTGGTGGCACTATAATAACAGTAATGATACCAGCCAACATTTATATAGCTCTTTAAGGTTTACAAAATGCTTTTCTCATTTGACCCACAGAACAATCCTATGAAATAGGTGCCCAATTTTACAAATGAAAAAAAAAACATGAGGCTCAGAAAGGAGAAATGACTTAGGGTCATATAGCTTGCAAGGCTCTGAGGAGGCATTAGAAACCAGGGTTTCCTGAGTTCAAGTTCAGCACTCATACATTATAGACTGAGAGCTAGGAAGGACATGTCAGTGATCATATGGTCTGATTTCCTCATTTTACACATGAGGAAACACAGTAAGTGTCAGAGACAGCTAGTGGCTCAGTGGAGAGAGTGTTGGGCCTGGAGTCAAGAAGACCTAAGTTCAAATCCAGCTGCATAAACTTACCAGCTGTGTGACCCTGGGCAAATCACTTCACCTTGTTTGCCTCAGTTTCCCCATCTGTAAAATGAGCTGGAGAAGGGAATGGCAAACCACTCCAGTATCTTTGCCAAGAAAAACCCAGATGGGGTCATGGAGAGTTGGCCATGACTGAAACGACTTAACAACAAATTCAGATGTAGGATTCAAACTCATGGCCTCTTGACTATAAGTCTCGAGTGCTATCCTATCCACCATATTCCTTTCTGTAGGAGCCGGCCCTCTCTCTATCTCCTTGCAGAACAAATTAGGAGGCGAAAGGGAAGGAAATTATTCCTTTCACCCGCTCTTGGTCTTCTTACCTGATTGGCCTTTTCCAGGTTGGTCATGATCATTCCTACTTCATCTGCCCTGAGACAGAAAAGAGAAGCCGTGAAAGGGGGTTTCCCAGATGAGAGTGAGGGAGCCAGCCTGAGCCCCCACCCTCCCTGCATCCATTGGCAGCCATGATCAAGGAGAGGGGATTCTGGGACCTGGGCAGGGATGGGCTTCTCCATCTCTTACCCACATGGTCAGGCAAAAGGCCTGTCCCCTGGGTGAGAGGCCTCGTTCTGTGGGGGAAGTGGGCATTCTGGCACTAATTCCTGAGATTAACTTGGTGCTCAGCCTGTAAGGGGTGGGCTCTGACTTAAGCCTGACTCCCCATCCAGGAAACTAGACTGCTCATGAAACTTTCCTCCCTGGCTGATAAATGGAGCTGACTAGAATGATGAGGTGGGAAGGGTTGCCTCCTTCCTAATCTTAAAACAAACAAAGAAACAAAACAAAACAAAACAAAAACCCTGCCAAAAACACCCCCACCCCCCATCCCATCCATTATTTATCAAAGGTTTACTGTCCAGAGCACTGGGTTAGGTGCTTAGGGAGGTACAAAGTTTAGGCAGGGCAGGAGTCCTCAAACAGAAAGTAAGTTCTTTGAAGGCAAGAATTTTTAGTTTTGTCTCTGTTTCTGTGGCACCAGTACTGTGCTTGGGATGCGGTAGGAGTGTAATAAATGGGAACTGTACTTACCTGTTTACATGTTATACTCCCCACCCCGCCCCCCCAGCAGAATGTAAGCTTCTGCTGGTACATAGGATATGCTTGAATTGAATCTCTTTCCTTATAAAGTGTATACTCCAACAGGAGGCTAGGCCGCCACTATAAATAGCTACCTGACATTGCTTATATGTAAGCTAACAACAACCTTCAAACGAATTTTATAATGCCTGATTGTGAAAATGTACAAGAAGAAAGCTAAATTCATTGAGTGGGAGGGGATTAGTTATGATAGTATCTTCTAGTTGCTGAGAGAGTATATACATTAAAGTTTTTGCTCCCTTGAAATGCCAGTGCCCTGGAACAAAGCCCCAGACACCTCACCCTAGTTACGGCTCTGGCAGTAGTAGGTATAGAGTTGGTGAGAAAAGACTATCTCTCAGAATGCTGGGGGGCCAAAGGTATGTGGCCCAAAGGTGCTGCTTGGGAGACAGTGCGAGATAGAATCATAAGGAAAGAAGAAAAGGGAAATTTCTGGGAGGTAGAAGAGATAATCATAGTTCTACAGTCTAATCTCCTCATTTTTCAGATGAGGAGACTGAAGCCCAGAGAGTTTAAGGGACTGCCCTGGGTCACAAAGCTATTAAGTAGAAGAAGTGGGATTTGAACTCAACTCCTTTGACCTCAAATCCAGTGGTCTTTCCGTCCATTGTACTGTGCTGAGCAAGCAAGCCCTAACAACACAACAAAGTGGATGAGGGAACAGATGGCATAGGAGATGAATTGTAAAGGAAGGGAGGGACCCAAGAGGAGGCAGGAAGGAGGGAGGGAATGTCAGGCATGGGGCACAGCCTGTGCAAAAGCATGGAGATGAGAAATGGAGGGCTGAATTCAGGGAACTGAAAGTCAGTCAAGCTGGCTGTAAATGTAGGGTGAACGGCCCCTTTTCTGAGCTGTCACCTCCAAAGCCCTGTTGGCTCCAGGGTTCGGGACTCAAGTTGATTTCTTGGCTCTTGTGGCCAAGGTCCGGATGGCCATGGTGGGTTCAGACTTCAATAGCAGCATCAGGGAGCTTTGGGAAGGAGGAAGAGGAGGAGCAGGAAGAGGAAAAGGAGGAGAAGGAGGAAGAAGAGGAGGAGGAAGGAGAGGAAGAAGGGGAGGAAGAGGAGGCCAGGGTTTCCTGACCCTTTTCTCCTTGACCTGGCCTGACCACTTCTCACTCTCCCACAGTCAAAGCTTCGAGCCCTGATTAAAGGCAAGATAATTTACAACTCCACATTGTACAAATGGCATATCAAATTACCCAAGAACATCTGTTTTGGTATTATATGATTAAGTGTTCTTTCTGTGTTGCATAATGTGAATGAAAATTCTGTTGCCGTGTGTTTGTGAGACTGGCAAAACATTTGAACAGCTGTAAGTGTTTGGCAGTGGAGGATGCTGGCGGGTGCCAAAGGGAGGCAGGAGATGTTCCTGCCTCGTAAAAATAGATGGCATCTTCCCAACAAAAATAAGAGCAGCAAATGTACGTTTAATGAAGTGAAGGAGTCAGCTCAAGCCCAGTTACCGCTTCCAAGTCAGCATCGTCCAAAGCGGGTGTGCGTACTACGCAAGGAGCCTGCTACCACTCAGGCAGCTGGCTGACCATCCATCCATCTATCCATCCATTGGTTAGTCTGTGAGTCTGCAGGGCCCTGGGATGCTCCTGAACTATGCTCCTGAGGACAAATGCTCCTGAGGACGTCTGTTCCAGCATCTTAGCACAAGAGCCGTGGGGTGGCAAGATGGTGAGTGTGGGATGGAGGGGTGAGGACAGGATCCTGGAGGGGTCAAAGGGCCTGGAATAAGGGGCTTGGGGGTTGGCAGTGAAGAAGACAGTTTTGGGATAACTGCATATTGGGTATGCGATGGTGGGGATTCCTTTTGTGTATGGGAGCCTACAGGACCACTGAGATGCATCAAACTCTCAAATTCTGTGACTGGGAGGGTCACTGGTACCCTCCCTCCCAAACTACTTTGGATGTAACCACATTATATATATATATATATTTGCATATTATCTACCTATCTGTGTATGTATCTGCCTGTCTGTCTAATTATCTAATAGATCTATATCTATATATCCAATAAGTCCATATTATATCTATCTACATCTACCTATAATATCTATATGATATTTCTACATATTATCTATCAATTATGTCTATATTATATATTTCCCTATTATATAATATTGTAATAGATTGTATTATTGTAGTATATTATATTACACATGTGTATATATCATATATAATGAATAACATATATAATATTGTATATTGTAATATATATTACAAATATTCATATATCTATATATAGATATATGATGGGTAGCTGGTGGTTCAGTGAATAGAGTGCTAGGCCTAGAGTCATGAAGATCTGAATTCAAATCCAGTGTCAGATGCTGCCTAGCTGTGTGACCCTAGGCAAGTCACTTTACCCTGTTTGCCTCAGTTTCCTCCTCTGTAAAATGAGCTGGAGAAGGAAATGGAAAATCAACTCCAGTATTTTTGCCAAGAAAACCCCAATGGGGTCACGAAGAGTTGGACATGACTGAAAAATGACTGAGCAACACCAAGATATATAATAGATCTATCTATAGATACAGATATTTTATATGTATAGTAGCTATCTTCTTTCTTTACTTTTATGCCTCCCCCATTAGATAGATAGATCTATATAACAGATAGATCTATAGATACAGATATTTTATATGTGTAATATCTATCTTCTTTCTTTACTTTTATGCCTCTTCCATTAGATAGATAGATAGATCTATATAATAGATCTATCTATAGATACAGATATTTTATATGTATAATATCTATCTTCTTTCTTTACTTTTATGCCTCTGCCATAGAATATAAGTTCCTTGTGTGTAGGGATTCTTTTATTCTTGGTACTCGTATGCCCAGGGCCTGGCACATAACTGATGCTTGAAAAAGGCTTGTTGGTTGATTGGAGATAGAGGAAAGTCTTGGGGATCATAGATCCAGAGTTTGAAGGAACCTTAGAGGTGATTGAGCCCACTCTCTCATTTTACAGGTGAGGAAACTGAGGCCCATGAAGGTGGAGTGACCTGTCCATGATCACACAGGTACTAAGTGATTGAGGAAGGATTTGCTAGAATTCTGTTGTCTGGTCAAGCCAGCACGAGGACTTGGTAATATGGCACCAGGGAGGTGGGGGCCCACAAGCAGAAGCACTAGCTGACTCATTCATCATATTAGGAGCTGGCACAATCCTGGGTTATTTAATTTATTAATGATAATAATAATACTAGGTCACATTTATATAGCATTTTAATGGTTGCAAAGCACTTTATATATGTTGCCTCATTTTATCCTCACGACGACCCTATGAAGAGGGTGCTATTATTATCCCTATTTTACCCATGAGGAAGCTGAGGCCGAGAGTGGTAAAATGACCTACCCAGGGTCACATAGCTAGTAAGTGAGGCAGGTTTCAAAATAAGTTTTCTGACTAAGTTCTAAGCTCTAGCCATTACACCACCTGGTCATCTCTCCTGAGCTGTACACGGGGGGTTCGTGCTGGCCCAGGAGGGGCTGAAATCTGGTAGTGTTCCCTCTCTGTAACGTTCCTGGCCCTGACCTATGTCCGTTGCTTGGACCCTGGTCCCCTTAACAAGGCCAGGAAGAAGGCAGACGGGGCGGCCCAAAGGTGCTCACTTACTTGGATGCTACCTCTTCATCATATTTACACCGTAGGTCCAGTAGCTCCGTCTGCGTGGCCTTTAGCGCTGTCCATCAAGAAAAAAAGGGACATGGTGAGTCAGCAAACCCGGTCGCTCATGGGGCCCAGAGGAAGAGGCCAGGGGAGGGGTGAAGAGAGGGGCCCTCCTAGCATGAGGTCAACCTCTCATTCCTCCTCCAGGACACTCTCTGCTTTTGTCATCCCAGTAGGCAGGACTGTAGATTCAGAACTGGAAGGGACCTTAGAAATCACTGAATTCCCTGCCCGCCCATTTTATGGATGAGGAAACTGAAGCACAGAGTGACTTGTCAAATGACTTGTCTTTGGCCACCCAGCTCTTTACTGTTTTAGATATGATTTGAACTCGGTTCTTCCTGGGTCCAAGGCCAAAGCTTTCTCCACTATGCTACCTAGCTGCCTCTGTGGAGGGGCAAAGTCTTTTTGGAAATGGCATTGCCATAATCAGGAAGGCTGAAGGGCAGGACCAAGAAGGCAACAGCTGATGCCAATATCACTAATGAGAGCACCATAGCACCTTGGGATGATAGATTTAGAGCTGAAAGGGACCCCAAAGGCCATCTAGCCCACCCCCTCCCCCCACCCCCTAATATTAACCCCTAGCACCAGAGTGCCGCTTCTCTATGTGGCTGTCCATGAAGATGCCAGGCTTCTGGGCTAATATCAGACTGGTCCTTAAAGTGTGGCTGTAGAGCTGACCACTTAGACAGGAGAGAGGACACGGGAGCAGCTATGGGGAGTAAGGTTACCTGGGAGGCTTGCTCTGTTTATCTGGATTTGTGTCTCCCCATGTCGTGTGTGGCTCTGGAAAAAGCCTTGTGCATCAGGGCTGTGCTGAGAGCTGCCTGAGGTCTTAGGCACACAGGGTCCACCGATGAGCTGGGCTATGATGACTGAGTCACAGCTGCATCCTTTGTCAACAGAGCCCTGCCCTGCTCTCCTGCCTGGGTCAGTGGGCCTGGGTCCCTGACAAACAGGCTGAGGTGCTCTGGGGGTGAAGCGTTAAGTGGGGAAGCATGGAAGCTTTGTCCTTTATGATGTCGTCACGGAAGGTTATAGACACAACCTTGGCTTCCTTAACATCCTTCATTTTCCTCCATCTCTCTATC